CATATCGAGATGAAATACTACATTAGGTAAGGAATTATAAGCCAAATAAAAACATCTGGGCTGAAGATAAGGATAGTGCTGACAAATAAACTTCCAATTCATTACGCGCCCACCACGGCGTTCCCCCCGCCGAGCAGCGTGAAATTGATAAACAGATTTCGGATTTCAAAACATACTTTCGCTTTAGATCCTTTACATATTAACAAATATATATCAGAAATTCTATTTGATATAATCGAAAGTTTAAACTTACTTTATAAAATTGCTCTTACAGTCTGCAAAAATATAAGCCGGATCCAATTCGAAAATTAAGGAACAACGCAATCATCAACATTAACTGAAATAGATAATTATTTAGCTTATACGCCCATTATACATAAAACGCGCACGCGAAAACGTATTCTGCACTTGCGTGCACTCATATGCGCAGTCGTAAAAGGTCTTACGCGCACGCGTAAACGCCTATGCGCATGTGTCAACGCGGCGCATGCGCAGAAAGTTTTTAGTTTTGAGGTCCGGATTATAGATCATTCCGAATTATGGGTGTCCGAATTAACGACTTTTGACTGTATATTATTTTGTACTAAGCTTCATTGTGTGTTGTGTGAAGTAGTGTTGAATAATTTTCAGATTGTATGGCGCGGTCTAATATTATTTTAAAGATCCGGAAACAGGTGTACATACCAATACAATAGAGGGCACGTGGAGTGCTATAAAAAGCGCCATTCCGAGGCATTGTGATAAAATACCGCACGTAATCTTACATGCCAATCGTGGCATAAAGTGGAACATGGAACATCATTGTGATAAAGAAAATTTTGCTTTTTATTTAGCGGAGGAAGTGTGGAGGAAAAATTCGCAGAAAAAATCGTTCAATAATTTTATTGAATCAATAATAAAAGTGTATTCACCATGAAAGCAAGATTCTGAAGAAGATTAGGTAAGTTAGTATTTTTAATTATTTGAGGATAGTATTTTTATGCATTGTTCTAAATGTAAGGTGGAAGTAAAGTAATTTGGTATTATTGGAAAATTGTTATTAGCAATGATTTACTTTAAAGTAATTACGATTGTAAGCTAATTTTTATTAATTTAATGTATGTGCTTGTTTATATTTTAAGTAGTGTTTTTGAATTTAATTATGTTTTAATTACATGATAGTTATTTTGTGAATTATATGTTTGTAAAATTTGGTATACCTTAGAGTGGAAGTAAACGTGCATGGAAATAATTTAAATATTTGACACTAAGTATTTGTAAACATTTCTAATGTTTGCGGTATGAATTAGTTGGTGACGTTTGTAATAAAATAGATAATGTAGAGGTAAAAGTTTTTTGGATATTTTATTTATTTTATATGTGGAAATGTTCATATTTGGAAAGGGTATATACTTTTTCGCGATCAGGTAATTTCATATATGTTCTTTTTACCGGGTTTAAAGATTCAGAAAATTGTCATGCATTTTCGTGAAATTTTTCTAGTTTATGAGAAAAAAGCAGTGTACATGGATATAGTGAAGAGTGTGCGCAATGCCATTTTTGTGCAATTCTGGGATTTTTTTTAAGTAAAAATAAATTGACGTGTACATGGTTTATGTGTATGTGTTATTCTGAAAAACGCGCAAGGAGTTTGCTATTGTGCACTTTTTCCCAATTTTGCAGTGAATATTTGTCACGATTAAGCAGTTTTGTTAGAAAAAATTTCTAGCATAAGTGTAATTCGGCTAGTAGATTGTTGGAAAAAGTGTTGAGTAAATAAAAAGAAAAGAAACACGTCTTTACTTCGTGAAGACAAAATGGCGGCGGGAAAAAAAAATAGAGGGTTACTGTAGCAGAGTAGGTCGCCAAATTTTCGCCAAAAAATCGCCAAGTTACCATAATCCAAAGATCAACCAAAAGAACATATATTAATTAAAAAATTTTAAGTAGTAAATTAAATTAAAAAACACTACTTAAAATATAAATAAGCACATACATTAAATTAATAAAAATTAGACTACAATCCTAATTACTTTAAACTAAATCATTTCTAATAACAATTTTCCAATAATATCATATTAATTTATTTACTCCTTACACTTAGAACAATGCATAAAAATAATATCCTCAAATGATTAAAAATACTAACTTACCTAATCTTCAGAATCTTCATTATGTGGCACGCACACTTCAACTATTTCACACAACACACAATGAAGCTTAATACAAAATAATATAGTACTACAGTTTTGCAAATTCCTCCCCCTTTTCCGATTAAAGAACTGTAATTCGTCCATTAATGTCACATGACATATCTCATGATCTCTCATTTCCCTCACACAAAATAATGCGTAATCGGAACTGAGTACTTCTCACATTATTACCAAAGTCCTAGGTAACCTTTATCGCCTCCAAAATTCCAGTTAACATATTCCAAAGATCAGCCGTAAATTTTTGTACCCTTTAGATCGTAATTGCTCTTTATTTCATAAATTACGATTTCATTTTTATAATTTCTGCATGCCATCTTACCAGATTTAAATGATGATCTATAATCCGGAAAAACCCCTAATCCAGAATCGCCGAAGTCCCGACGAGTCCAGATTAAAGACTTTGTACTGTATATGCTTTTAGAAGTTTTAAATAAAATTTTATTTTACGTAAAAAATTAAATATAACATTGTATTTTATGGAATTTATGTAGTTAACTACAATAATTTTATGTACACGGGTTTAAAACAATACTATATTATGTTAGGTAAATAAAAGAGAAGGACAATTAAGCACAGCAGCGCAGACACACTTTGCAGGGCAGGAGAAGTTAGAAAGTATAAATACTCGCGAAGCAGTATTTATACTAGGCAGGTGCATATGTACAATTAAGTTGCAATTGGTTTAGTTTTTAGTTCTCTTTGCAAGCAGCGTTATGTAAGCGTCATATGATTTTGGAAAGATCTCGAACTTGGAAGAAAAGATGAACTGAGGGAGGAGAGATAAAATTTAGAATGGTCAATTTTGAGGTTGCCAATTATTTCTTAGTACGGCCATCATATTTTATTATATCTTGCATATATATATATGATATTTTAAGGCGTAGGTGAAGACATGAAGAAGAGATTAACAAAATTAAATTGAAGAATAACCATCTTTATTTTTACACATGTCAAATCATCTCTTTGGCAAACAAATTTACTTTTCAATAATGTTTGAATACAATCACTTCTTATATACACAAATAGAGGGATACTACGTCATTTCAGGCTGGAAAGCATAAGTGGTGCAGAGTTGTTTGCACAGCAGAAGGAACGTAGTTCCTCGCGAAGCCGTATTTATATTTATACTGCGTGGGTGAAAATTTGAATCAAAGCTTTGATCAGTTAATTTTACTTTTAGTTACCCTTTTCAAGCAGTGTTATATAATTTGGAAAGATCTTGAATTTGGGAGAACAGATTAACTTAAAGGAAGAGCATAAATCCTAGAATCGTTAATTTTGAGATCGCCAATTATTTTTAAAGCTGCTAATGCATTTAATTATATCTTCTATATATTTCCAAAATCGGTACTTTTCCGTTTTGCCGGCACGTATGGCCTTAGTGCATAAAATTGAGCTATCTGGTAAAAATTCTGTGTAATTTTGTGCCAGTATTGAAAGAAACAATCAATCAGATTAGAAATGGCTGCGATTTGTTTTGAAAATGATGCGTAAAAGGTTACCAGAGAGGATATTCCGTTTGGCATTAGAGTTACCACTACTGACGACTTTATTGCCTGCGGCAGCAAAACGGAAAAGTACCCCAAAATCTATTATTATGACTATTTCAGGACAGAAAACCCTAAAAGAAATTAAATGTGCATTAACTTATATTAGAGTTTCTAATATACTGATAAGTATATTTATTTTGGAACTTAGTATTGTTTAAGCCAGATATCTCTAGGAATTGCCAAGTAACACTTTCACTCCATAAGCGAGTTGTGCAGCTCCTTTCCATGGTTTGCCACTATCATTTTAATTCAGGTTATTGTAACATAATATGTTATGAAAGTACTCGGCAGTGAGAAAAGATGGATATCAAGTTATCAGAGAAATGTACCGGAGAAATGTCTGATAAAAAAATCTAGTAAGCCTGTATATCCGTAATATCACAATGTATTTTATATTTCTTGGAAAGCCTGTCACATCATAACTGAAGTATTTATTAGTGGCCGAAATGTTTAATTGCATAATCATGCCATCAGTGTTAGTCTTATGATGGTATCTCGTATTACATATATATGTTGCTTAGAAAGGCTGGTTAGCAATATGCATTTACACTGTATGAATTCAATATGGTTATGGTAATTTAGGCATCAATAAAAGTGTACAAAAAAAGAAAAATATATAATTTTCAAAACACATAAACAAGCATTATGCAAGAAACTAAACCACTTCTGAATATTGTGGAGAAATACAGTAATGCAAAATAAACCAAATGAAAATATTCTAACATTTAAAGGTGCCAGATACCTATTCTGTTTACTTAAATTACAAGTAAGTATAATTAAAATTATATTTTATTCTAGTATGCGCTATTTCTATAGTAACGCTTTTTCGTACACCACGCTCATAAATAAATAGCAAAGGCGATGAAGCAAAAAACGCCAAGTACAAAATTTCGAACCCTCAATTTTCCGTTTTAACCAATGGGAGCAAACTGTAAGAGAAACGGTCAGTAGTCTTTGTGAATATGTGAATGACTGCAAGCCAATTTTTCTCAGAAAGTCCAATATGAAGGCATCCTTCTTAGCAGACAGCTACCGTATGCTTTGCCATATTCAAATAGCCGCTAATCTTGAATGCATAATTTTTCTTTATACGCTGCACACAATTCTTACTAACTTCAACTTGGTTTTAATGATGACATTTCAAGAACATTATTAAAAAAAAAAATTCCTCATTACTTAAAATACGAAACATCTAAATCCACCCTGTTTTAAGTAATTCCTGATTACTCTCAGTTTTCAAAGATAGTAGTATACTTACCTGAAATAAATTCTTCGAGTTCCTTGAGTTCAGCTTTGATTTGATCAATGTGATGCATTAATGAAGTAATGTGCTTCATAGTTTCATAATTAAACGAATTCTCAAAATTTACATTATGGTCTTTACTTCTTATAAAGTCTTCGTTTAAAGATTTAAGATGTTTTTGAAGTCTATGATCGTCAAATGAAATTGTAGACAACAAATCATGTTTATATTCAGTGTAATTACTACGAGTCATATATTCTTAACTTTTCCGTTACACTATATATAGGCTTCTCCGTTAATAACTAAGTATTAATAAACTTAGATAAAATAAGACAAAATTTCATAGACGACTCGGAATTCGTTGTTGACAGGTTATCTTCACGAGAAAAAAGGGGGGAAAAATGGGAGGAGTTACGAGATTCTCTGGGTTGCATGAAGATCTACTAATAACTTTCTCGCCAAGTAATTTGGCGTCATCGGCTCATTCTTATTTCTGGAACTGTGGTTGAAGAGTGGTCTGTTTTTGATCCGTAAGTATGCTAAAATTCTACCATAAATTTTTAATACCTTGTTTTCCAAATTTACACATTTTGCTTGATTAATTTGAAGTTGTTTGTTTTTAGATGTGCGCAATGGCAAATTTCAGGTTATTCGTCAAATAACCAAGGTTTCTATTTCTCTGGTAAGTGTTTGCTTTATATCTTATATTTTTATTATTAAATATGAAAAGTAATTTTTGCATGCGTATATTTTTTCATGCTCATTTTCTGTTTTATGTGCTGGTAGATTTCTGGCCGATTACCGTGTTTTTAGATAAATGCGCCATTTTCATTTAGGTCGTGTAGAGATTACTGTTTCCATTTTTTTTTAAGTAACCACGAAAATTCTAACACATGTAAAAGCTTTACTAGTAAACTTTTGATTGAGGATATTTCAAGTAAATGTGCCATTTTTACTGAATTTGTGTAGAAGTTGCTCTTCGTTATGCCTTTTTTGAGCCAATATGTTAATTAGTTGTATTCTTTTAATGTGTTGTTTTGCAGATTAATGCAGTTTATTTGACAGATGTGTAATGCTGTTTGTTGAAAAATGCATTAGAACCAATGATGGTAAGATCTTGGCCTAGCAAATTGGTAAAATATTACCTGCTCTTAATTACTGAATCATATTGTAGGATAAAATCTGCTGTTTATGTATGAAAATTTGTACTTTATCTCTGATTATGTGGTATATGCCCAGAATTTCATTATTAATGATCGATTCATTAAAATTACTATTTTTAATTGTCTACTTTGTTTTGTGTTGCTGCTGCTCATTCTGCATTTTTTTTTTTTTTTTTTTTTTTTTGAGTAGATATAAAAATTAATTCTTGTTTTTTTATTTTTTTCCCTCCATGTCTCTTTTTATTGTGCTGGTAAATTTTTGAGAAAATTTCAAGTAAATGTGCCGTTTTTACTTAGTTTGCGTAAAAATTGTTCTTCTTTATGCCTCTTTTGAATAAATATGTCAATTCTTGTTTGTATTATTTAATATCTTGTTTTGCATATTAACACAGTTTATTTGACAGATTGAGATGCGATTTGTTGAGAATATTCATTAAAACTAATGCGGGTAAGTTCTTGGGCTAACAGATTGGTAAATTTTCTGATCTTAATTACTGAATTTTTTATATTCTAGGATAAAATTCTGCCTTTTACGTGTGAAAATTTTTATTTTATCTGATTATGTGCCAAATTTAATGATTCAAGAAAAATGCAATTTCTGTGTGTAGCTAGTTCGTTGTTGCTGTTCGTCATGCAGTTCTTTTGAATATGTATCAGTTTGAAAATTTATTCTTACATGTGTATTTTTCTCATCCATTTTTGCTGTGCACTTTTCCTGTGAATATTATTTTTATTTAGTCTATATAGAATTTGCTCTTTCTACCTTTTTTGAATAAGTATGATAATTAGTTCTTGTTTGTGTTATTTTAATGCCCAACAATTCACTTTCGAATGTTTGTTAATTATAGAAGCTAATTTTACTTTTTGCTTGCAGTTTTTAACTCTGTACCTTTTATCCAGACATAAATAACATCTGCCTTTTCATTTCTAAACTTAAAATATCGCAGTCGGGAAAAGGTTTCAATTTGAAAGGTAGTGGCTTTTCTAATTGCAAGAATTTCTCTTCAGAATTATAATTAACATAGGCTGTGCATTCTCTGCTAAGTATTTCATTTCTCGAAAAGTCTAGTAGACCTTTTAAATCGCAATTTTAATCTTTAATTTTTTGGATATAATTAAGAACGAATTCATTTGGAAGCAATTTAAAAAATAAAGGCATTAAAATATTTCTGTATAAATCAGTATGGTACTTTTCTGTTTCGCCGGCGCAAATCTCGCCAAGCGCACTTTATTGGCGACAACACATAATACACATAAAAATTGTCAAAAAATGTTAGTTCTAAGATTTTTTTTATTTTAAAGGCATAAACATTTTAATATCGTTTAAAGTTTTGTAAAAAGACAATAAATTTTTTTAAAAAACGTTAATTTAAGAATTTACTATGCTTTCATGGTACAACATCCTGATTCGCAGGTTCGTATCACGTGAACCCAAGTGATCTCATTTCACGTAATTCTTTGCTCAAACTACGCTACAAAAATCTAATTCTCTCAATGATTCAGTAATTATCTACAATAATTTCAAGTTACATTTTAATATGGAATACAAGTTTAAATGCAAGTATTATTTCAGTTCGTACGAAGCTTACTTAAGAATTATGTAAAACCCAGTACTTTACTTCGCTAGTGCATTCTCATTAGAATTGATGAATTTAACCCTTGATTTTATCTTTTCTATATTTTCGCCTTCGCTGAGCTGTGTGATTGCATCCTAATTGACTTAAATACCGCGAATGGCATTAGGGCATAAAATTGAACTTTCTGGTAAAAATTCTATGTAATTGTATGCCAGTATTGAAAGAAACAGTGGCGTAGCTAGGGTGGGGCAAGAGGGGACATCTGTCCCCGGGCGCAGCATCCAGGGGGCGCCAAATTAATGCTACGAAATTTTTTAATGAATGTTTTGCATTCTTGACACATAGAAAAGGGCGTAAATTCTTCAGTTGTCCCCGGGCGCTGGAATCCTAGCTACGCCACTGGAAAGAAACAATCAATCTGATAAAAAAAATGGCTGCGATATGTTTTGAAGATGAGCGTAAAAGGTTACCAGCGGAGATATTCCGTTTGGCATCTGTTGTACCATTTTTGGCGAAGCATCTTTACTTTCTCCCAAAAGTCTTGCTATTTTTCAGATTTCAAGTTTGACTTCTGTGCCTTGTTTTGCAGGTTAACATGCTTTATTTGATTGCATAGAAGTTAACTTTTCGTAAAAAGGCCTTAATTATAGTATCATTATTGGTAAATTCAAGGCTTAAACAGATTGGTGAAATGTTTGACCTTAACTACTGAATTCTGCTAATTATATGGGATATGTCCATAATTTAAATTTTTTCCTAGTAAATCGATCAATTGGAACAAAATGTGAAATGAATTTATTAAAGAGTATGTCATTTGCTGTATTCATAAATTTCCAGCCATGTGTATCATTTAATAATTATGTTTTTAGTATAAAAAAAAAGTAGTAGCAGATGGTCCTACCAATTTGAATAAATATGGAATTTAGTTTTTAATAGTTTTATTTATTTCATGTAATTTATTATATTAAAGTATAAAGGCTATGCTCGTGGATTTTCTAGTAAAGGCAAGTTTCCAATAAATAGCAGTTTTTATTTGAGTATGGTGGTTGAGCTATTTATCCAGCATTTTTTTAGTATGAAGACTAATCATACTAAAAAATTTTGAGTAATTTGAGCATTTCTTTCAAGTAAAAATCAGTGTGTTATAGCTGTGCCAGTATCATTCTGCATAATGACAAAAGTTCATTAAATATGTTAGTGACATTTAAGTGTTGGTTTTGATTATCATGCAATACTGAAACTAAATTCAGAATTTCATTATTGACAAAAAAAATTTTTTTTTTAATTCTGGGTATGAATGTCTGAGCATGTGTGTAAATTTTAAGTCATTCTGGATTTTCTTTCATTTGATTAATTCGTTAAACTTGCTGTTATCTGTAAAAAATTTTCCTATTGAACTTTACCTTTCGTTTTAGTGGCACAGGTGATAATAGATTTTTAACCCCCCCAAAAATGAAAATTTCCAAGTGTGGCTATAGAGAGTATGCTCAAGTTCATAAAATAACTTAGTTTTTCTTTATCATCACCTTTCTGTTCGAGAAGCTTTTCTGCAGCATACAGTGACCACCCCTTTTCTATTATAAGAATACAGTCAAAAGTCTTTAATCTGGACGTCCATAATCCGAAATGATCTGGACCTCAAAGCTACAAACTTTCTGCGCATGCGCATATGCGTTTACGCATGCGCGTTTAATGTATAACGGACGGTATAAGCTAAGCTAAAATTATCTAATTATCTATTTCAGTTAATGTTGCAGATTGCGTTGTTCCTTAATCTTCTATATGGATCCGGCTTATTATTTTTTGTGGACTGTTAGAGCAATTTTATAAAAGTAAGCTTGAACTTTAGATTATGTCAAAAAGAATTTCTGATTCTGGAGCTGCCGAAGAATCTACAAAGTGAAAGCATGTTTTGATGTCCATCAAACAAAAAGTGGAATTGCTGCAAAAAAATGTATAAAGGCATATCCTTTGTTTCTCTAACCATTCCAAAATCTGTTTATCAATTTTACATCTCTCTGCGGGGGGGGAGGAACATCACGGCGCACAATGAACTGGAAGTTGATCTGTCAGCACTATCCTTATATTCAGGGCAGATGTTTTTATTTTATTTGGCTTATAATTCCTTACTAAATGTAGTATTTCATCTCAATGTACTCCGTTTTTGATTATGATTTAATCAAATTTCTCGTCATTATATTACGGATACACATCAAATAGTTTTCTGATTGCAATTTTCTAATTTCGACTATGCGTAATGTATTCTTTACGCATGCGCTTTGAAAGAAATGTTTAATAAAGTAAACAAATAAATAATTTTTTATTGTATATTTTAATACCCTTTAGATCATAATTGCTCTTTATTTCATAAATTAAGTTTTCATATTTTTAATTTTATGTTTTCTTCATGCCATCTTACCAGATTTAAATTGATGATCTGTAATCCGGAATCGCCGAAGTCCCGACGAGTCCGGATTAAAGACTTTTGAGTGTAGTAATTTTAGAAATTTATCTGAATGTCTCCTGTGGACTTTCATTTAATAGATAACTAAAGCCAGTATGGAAATTAGGACATTTTGATATTGAAGAATAATTCATTGCTGCCTACTCTCCTTTTTTTAATTTTTAGTCTTAACAAAGGAAAATGTTTCTCAGAAATAAATGGAATGTATTTAATTAATTAAACTTAAATTAGGCAAATTCCATTCCCTCAATCTCTAATGATTTTCAGAATTTTTAAATTCTTTTTCATTTGGTCAGAGTTGTCTTAATCTGTAGTCATTTCTAAATTTTTATATGAAGATTTAAAAAATGGAATTAGCCAAATAATATAAGAATTAAATGTTAATATATTTTACAACAGAATTGAATTTCAAATAGTTCAAAAATCTAGTCCATGTAAATTTGAACTGAATTTTAATTTGATTTTTCTATTAATTCATTACATTTATTTAGGCGCCTAGAATGTGAACATGGTAAATAAAATGGCAAGTACCCATTCCTCAGTATATTTTGGTGGGGAAAAAACTTCTGAAATTTATGTTCAGTTTGTAGTAATATTATTCAGTTAACTTCATATTTGTTTAGGAATTTCACAGGGTGGGTGATCTTCTGTGCAAGATACTGAGAAAATTTTGATATTCTTTATGCTAAGAATAATTTCAAGAATTAATAAATTTCAGTTTTTTTTTATATGATAGACTGATTATTCAAAGTAATATACACCAAGGTCACCTTGGATGATCAAGAGCTTGTATCATACATGCATATTAACTGTTATAGGATAGCTATGGACTTTGGTCCTTCAAATTGTTTTATTAATATATATACAGTATTCAAAGAACTACAAAAGGGTGGAATGTAGTAAATAAAACATTTTTGCTTCTGATAGAAGTGTACAACTGACTGAAAAATGTAACAGCCATCATTAAAATTTGAGAGATCTTTCTTAAGTATAGTACATACTTTTAAAAAATGAAACTGTATATATGAATTTTTGAAATAATGTAACATATTAAAAGAAGATAAATTATGTATTGAAGTGAATTATGCATTCAGTATTCCAATAAATTTTCCATTTTATACATTCTTAAATCAATATAAGAATTATCAGTATTTTTAAAATCATTAGTGTATGGTGTTTTAGGAAAACTTTGGTTTAAATTCAGGCTTAGATACTAAGAGTTCTGTTTTATGAAGCATAAGTATCTAATATTTGTTTTGCAATTAAGTTGAACTCAAATCATTAAATGTGAATGACATAATAGAAAAAAAAATCAGAGTTATTTTAATGACTGTAATGATGATATGTTATCTCTTATCACAGGAAAATACTTGGTATTTTATTTCAAGAAAAAAAAAACCAGCTGGGATGTTCTGTGGAGCAAGGTTTTTAAATTTTTAAATCCTGTTCCTAGAGCAGACTTGCTAGTTCTTGGTTGTAGGTAAAGTTCAAATGGTATTTTAAGAACCTGAGGTTTAAAAAAAGGGGGGAATAAATAAAGGTTTATTTTTTATAGAAAAATTCATTTATATTTCAGTAGTAGTTATTATATTTTGTGGCTATTCATTGAAAGAAATGTAAGCTTTTTTTTCGTAAATTTTGATACGGATTAGATCATGCTCTTTATTCCATAAATTACGGTTTCATATTTTTAATTGTATATTTTCTGCATGCCATCATACCAGATTTAAACTGATGATCTATAATCCGGAATCGCCAAAGTCCCGACGAGTCCGGATTACGGACTTTATACTGTATAACAGACTTATAAAGGGCCCCATATCTCAAATAGCTTAGGACCTTATTAAGTCTAAATATGGTTCTGCATACTGTTAAGCACGAAGTTGGAAGCAAAATGGTTTGTATATTTCTCGCTGCTCCTGGAATGGGAAATTTACCTTTGTAGGGTTTTTTTTTTTAAACAGCTTTTTTTTTTTTTTTTTTTTTTTTTTTTTTCCCCACCTACAACTCCCTACCAAAATGAATTTTCAAAATCCCGTTTTATATAAACGAGGTGGAACCAGTATTTAATAAGAAGTCTCAGGGAAAAATAATGACCACGTCAATTTTTTTTCTTCTACGGAAGTTACTTCCGTGGAAGAGCTTAGTAATGCATGTCTTCCTTTCTGGCCATGTCATTGCTTTAAGCTAAATCTTACTACGTTCAGCCGTATTGTTACGTGGCTGTTAGTATTCGCCAGTGAGGTTTAATTAAGGGCCAACTCTGTTAGTTATTTCTGTACAGCTTTTTCTAGTTTTTAGTTAGTTAGCATTAGTTTCTTATTTTCTATCTTAAGTTAAAGCCCAAGTGGAGACTTCATGTAAGCCCAGGATTGGCCAACTGTAAATGGTCTCAAGTTAAATAAAAGGATATTTAAACCCTACTTTGGACTTGTCGCTCTAGACTTTTAGAAGTCAATGAATAGTCGCTACACAATTCTCAAGTATTCTAGATACCAAAGGCAGCCAATTTTACTAGAATCTTGCATCATTTATAGTGGAAAATTATAAATTATAAATATAGATCAGTATATAACTATTATGAAAATTTGAAAGCATCTGCAAGAAAATTGGAATGCAAAATACATTCATGTTTTATCAGGATAATGATTCTAAACATGCAGCCCTAAATGTTCACATGTGGTTTTCATACAACTGTCCGGAAGTTATCACAACTTCTTCCTTCATTTAGTCTTCAGACTTAAATCAAATTGAACATGTATGAATGGAACAACAGTTACTCAAAAAATATAGATAAATGCATGTGAAAAGTGTAACTTTAGCTAAAAGATATCTAACCATTATGAGTATTGAATGTCCCGTTATTTTATTAATTTATTTTTTTTTTTATTGACTCTTTCTTCAAAGTATTCGAATACTTATATGAGTTCATTTTGAAAACATTTTGAATATCTTTTTTAACCAAAAACGATTAGACTTTTTTTTTTTTCAAAATAATGAACAATAGTACATGTGAAAGAAAAGTCATTCTACTGATTATTATTAACTGATATTTGGAAATAAAATCAAAGAATGCAAGTGTTACAAAATTAATTTCATAGGTTTTATAATTTCATGAGTTAAAACTGATATTTTAAATTTAAAAATACAAAAACATGAATATTTGTCTTATTCAAAACATGTTTGTAAGTGCAAGTATATATGTCTAAATGGCTGGCAGTTACATAAGGCATAAGAACTTTTAAAGACATACGATATGTTAGACTTCATATCTTAAAATAATTTACATTAATGTCATAGTAGAAAGACAATTTGACTGCACTATATGTGATTTCTTTAGGGTAATTAAAGAAAATTACACCACATGTGCTCTTTCCCACCTTTCCATCTTATTTTGCAAATAAATTGAGCAGAACGTAATTTTTTTGGCCATATGAAGTGGCACTTGTAGTAGTTCATTCAGGAGAAGGAAAATCTCGTAGAAGATTGAAGGGGGGGAAAATTGATCGCAATCAGGCATACTGGTGGTCCTGGTACGTACGATGAGACAACAGTTCAGTGATTCTTAACACAAGTTGATTTTTATGTTATAATGTAACCTGCTTGTAAACAAGATTTTTCTGGAGCACAAAATAAATATAACAGCACAGAAGGGCTATTAAGTCCCAGAAGTATGTTTTTCATTCAATCTTAGCCATTTGGTTAGGTGAACGGATCAACAGATTATCATGGAGAGAGAGGAGGCTTTCAGAAGGACCGAGGAAATGGTGTTTAAATCATAATATAGAATTACGTCCATCTAATCTTATGCTTATTATGCAAAAACTAGAGGAAGAATATTACTCACTTAGAGATGTTCCCAATCAGTCCGAGGAATAATTAGCTTATCTTAATGATCTCAAAAATCAAATCGCAGCACTAAGCCAGTACGTTATTGAACTCAAACTGAGGATGGACCCACTAATTACTCCCAGCTACTATGGAAACTAATATTCTATATATATAATCTACCGAATATAAAATCTACCGAATCTACTAACGCTAAAATTAAGCGTAAGAAAAACATAACGGATAAAGAAGGTTTTACTACACCTCGCATAACACATAAACGCACTCTTTCAAACGCAGAGGTTAATGAGCCAGCACAGAAAAACAAATTCCAGGAATTAAATCTCGAAGACAATATCGATTCTACTAACGAGCAGGGTGATTTTATCCCCCTCCCACTGTCCTAGCCGACTTTGCAGGCGACTGGGACAAATTAAAAGATGCTATTGAAGAAAAGTTACAAATCAAAAAATTCCGCGGAAATTTATCCGGTGGAACTCTTACCATCAGAGTTTACGACTCTGAACATTACAGAATGCTCACTGATTTTTTAGATAAACTTGAACTTCCCTACCATACTTTTAAAATGAACATCGAGAAACTGCCAAAGACTGCTGATATTGAACGTATCAAATCTGAAATAAAAGAAATGGAAATACCCATCCAAAAAAAACCGTTAAATCACTCATGTTATTGAGGGGAAAATTATCCATTTACCTGTATACTTAGCTGAATGCACCCGCAATAAAGAAGGTAAAGCTATATATGACATAAAGAAATTAAGAGGACTCGACGTGTTCGTGGAAACCTTACAAATCTCGCCCTGGCCCCATGCAATGCCATAAGTGCCAGCGGTACGGGCATACACGGGATCGCCGCAAATACAAAGCATGCTGTTTAAAATGTGCAAAACCTCACGAGACCTATACTTGCTCCCAAACAAAAAATGATAAAGATAAACCTCCAGTCTGTGCCCTCTGCGGAGCAGATCACATTTCTTCTTTTAAAGGTTGCCCTAAGCACCCATTTAATATACAGAAACAGATTGAAGAAATTAAAGCCAAAATAGAAGCGACGAAGAATCAATTCCATTACGACAAAAATGAATTCCAGGCGCTCAATCCGAAGGAGATCCCTAAACGTAGTCCTGCCTGGCAACAGCCATCCAGAGATGAAAACCAACCGAAAGGATCAAAAACTAGCCAATTAGGATTTTATGAGAGGTTAAAGTTACAAATTAAAGATTTCTTCTAAAAATTTAAAAATGCTAAAGGAATATTTGAAAAATTAGAGGTCGGCATGGCCGTTTTTGATTATCTGTCAAATATTGATTATGAATTTTAAGCCGATTCATAATATTCCTAATCTTATTTCAGCTACCAAAAGCTTTATAAAAATTAATTTCTTCAATGCTAACGGTATCCGTAAGCAACAACCTCAGCTCATCTCTTACCTCCAAAAATAACTTTTACAGGTCCTTAGGGGATGGATAAACATGTAGTGGTAAAGGCCTTTGGGTTGAACACCACTTAACGAATGATGATCTCCGATCTCCAAAAACATGACATTGATGTCATGTTAGTCAATGAAACACATCTTCGAGCTTGTGACAGATTCAGAATTCATGGCTATCAGAGAGGATAGACCCCACAACAGAGGAGGCGAAAATGCTATCATAATTAAAAGCCATAATAAAGCCACTAAATTATCAAAAAACGTAAAGCCAAGGCTTTGATAATATCTCAAATGAAGGGCTACAAGCACTGCCTAACAGATGTATAGTACTTATCACCAATATTTTCAACGCATGCATTCGTCACTGCTATTTTCCCTCTCAGTGGAAGCATTCAATAATTATTAACATCTTGAAACCTGGAAAAGACCTTAAATATGCCAAAAATTATAGACCCATCAGCCTGGTTACCGGCTCTCTGCAAAGTTTTTGAACGTGTCATCAGTACAAGACTTACCAAATTGGCATTGATAGGAACCAATTTGGTTTCCGAAAGGGACACTGTACTACTCATCAGATACTCCACCTGGTAGAATTTATCGCCCAAGAATTTAGAAAAAAGAATGGAGTGTAGCAGCATGCTTTCTCGATTTTGAGAAGGCATTTGACCGAGTCTGGCATGCTTGGCTTACTCCACAAATTGTCAAATTTCCTTCTGCCTAATAGCTTCATTAAACTTACCTACTCTTATCTCTACTGTCGCACGTTTCAAGTAAAGATGTGGAGAAATTCTCTCATCAAGAAAGAGATTTTCCGAGGCGTCCCTCAAGGGTCTGTTTTAGGACCGAAATATTTTAATATTTTTATAAATGACATGCCTGTCCCACTACACTCAAGTATTTATAAATATGCGGACAATACAGTTATCTTAACTAGCTCTAGAAATCCACAAAATGGTCTTGACAAACTCCAAATGCAAGCTAATCTAATCAACAAATACTGTGAAATTTGGAAAATTAAACTTAACGCAGATAAATGTTGGGTTGTTTTATATCGCAGATACAGAAAAAAATCTTCCAGTTAATTCCAATATTAAAATAGATCATTCACCTGTTCCAGTAGCAAGCTCATATAAATACCTAGGAGTGTACGTCGACAAAGCTTTAAATTTCAAGGACTATATCCAGTATATCATCAATAAAGCTAATGCAGCATTTATGTCTCTTTACTCCCTGCTTGGAAGGAAATCTAAATTAAATCTGAATACTAAGAGAAATCTTTATATCACTCTCATCAGACCAATTCTACTCTATGCAGTTCCTGCATGGGCAACTGCCGGATAAACTGAACGCTGAAAAAAAAAAAATCTTACCTAATAAGATTCTCCGTAGCATAACAAATGCCCCTTGGTTTGTGCGGAACGCGCAAATCCATAAGAATTTAAATATTCTCCCGATTATGATCAAATACTAACTACAGCACACAACTTCTTTGAAAAACTGAAAAACTCACAATACCTAGCCATTAAAGAACCCACAGATAAAAGACCGCGAACTATACATCATAATGCATTATGGTGGTAGTGTACAGTGTATATCTTTTATTTCTACTTATTTTACGTATCTTATTACTCTTCATTACTCAAGATCAGTTTACGTTATGCACTGACAAAGCTTATGGACTTTGATTGCAACTTATATTTCTTACTTATTATTTTCATTTAACCAAGAATTTATTTAGTACTGTGTAGTGTTTTAAAGCAAAGACTTTGCTTTCAGTGAAAATTTTAGTTCGCGGTCTTATGACTCCTTCACTCGCTATTGGCCACCTCGCATCACGTGGTGTTTACTGTGCAACTTTAAAGAAATTAATTTTCTAGCATGATTATTTAATTTTACTGTACCCAAATTGTGTTTCTGAAGAATAAGGACATTATTAAATCTTCAAATTCACCTTTTTTTTTTTTTTTTTTGGAACTCTACAGACTTATTTGGGCTACAATGAACCTCTGGTTGAGGCGATACCCCCATTTTAATGGATAATAAAGAGCGAAATAATTATATATTTCATTGGGGACTCGCATGCCATGGCTGAAGCCATGGCAGCGGTATTATAAATATAACAAACTTGCTAATACTTCACGGACATAATTGATGTTTTCTAAAATCAAAGTTTTTTAGGGTACTTGAAAAGAATCTTTATTTAACACGTGGGTGTGTAATCTTTATTTACCACAGTGCCACAGCAAAATCTGGTAAAATAGTCTGTCGGATCATTTTTTTTTTTTTTAATTCTAGTGGTTTCGTGTCTCCTTTATCCTAAAAATCAGTTCAGTACCTAATCTGAATATATTTTTATGAATATTTAATAAATAGATAAACAAATAACAGGTTTTAAACAATAAATTTATTACATTTCAGTTCATTGTAAATTAACACAAGAGTTCTATGTCTCAATAGGAAAAATTGGTAAAATTAGACAAATACTGTATTACAATACAAATAATAAAACATAATACATAACCAAAAATAAATAACTTAGTGAATGTGTAAACATCTTAAAAAATATCGCTAGTCTTGTATTCTTTCAATAAACAACACAATCCCATTTAATTATAACTTCGTTGTTTTACTTCATAAATAATGATTACTTATTGCAGCAAAATCTATATTAAAATCAGATAATAATCTATGAAAAAAAGCTTCCAG